TGTTTTAGCATTTTCTTCCCCTGCTTTTTTCTGCTCATTTAAGCTTCCTTTAGCTTGTCACTTATGGCTAATTTCAGCTTGTTAGTGGCAACTGCAGCTTCCGTCACTTGATTTCACCCTCTTTTTTTTGGTCTTCTTGACTACTTTTTTAGCTATTCTCGACACTTTTGCACTGTTTGCTTACTATCCAGCCAATTTCGGCTTTTTTGTGCTCCTTTCAGCTTATTTTTGCTCATTTCAGCATCGTTCTGCTAATCCAAGTTTTGTGGTATTTTCAGCTTAGGCACGCATCAGGACATTTTCAGCTACTTTTCCTGCTCCATTTACGTCTTTTAGCTTCTTTCTACTCTTCAGCTGTTAAATGCAGCGAGCTTTAGCCGTTTTCAGCACCTTCACAGGAAACACTGAATAACCGTGTCCCTCCGCTGCAGGTCGTGGTTATTTTCTTTACACAAAGCTTTGGGTGATTTCGACGCCGCAGCTCGCTGGTTTGATAGCAGCTGAAGGAGCTCGGAGGCCTTCAGCTGTGGGTTAGTGAGGGAGCAGCTGGAGGAGGTTTAGCTCCTTCTTGATGCTGCAGTGCACCGCCGCCATCTTGCCTCCCTCTTCTCCACCGTGGAGCTGAAAAACGAGGGCGTCGGTGTTTGTTTCCCAAATTAACTCCTTTATTCCTCCACCTGCTCCTCTTCTTTTACATTCCGATTAAAATAAGGAACAAAGACGACACAACTAAAATAAATAAATCTTTTTTAAATTATTTGTATTCTCCAACACGCCCACTCTCAGGAATATTAGCCCTCGGGATATGGAAAATGAGACAATAGCGGTTTATTTACTTTTTTATTTTACATAAATAACTGTTTGTTTGTTTGGACCCACTTCAAGGACTTAGTTGGGTCCAGAAGAAGAAAGTGGTGGGATCTTAAAAATCAAAGGCGAAGGATTAAAATTCCGTCGTTTGGAAGGTTTAAATACATCAGATCTTTCCAAAAGTGTTGACTAAGACGACGTTGACTAACAGGATGATTTTATTTACGTTTTTGGTAAACACACACAGAACACAAAATACAAAAGTTAAGGTTACGGATTAGAAATAACCTCGTAATCTCCCATTTTTAACACAAATCTGAACCACTGGGGAAAGAAATAACTGCTTTTCAAGGAATATCCGGTTAAGATCTTCAAAATAAAACCACGAGTACGAAATGTTTATATTTCCTATAAAAAAAATTATCATACTTTACAAGCCGCCACAAATAAGCTAACTCAGCTTTCTTTTAAAATTTGTTTACGTGATTTTAAGACTTAACTCGATTGTTTTCTGTTAAAAAAACGAAGCTTGAGCTTTAACTTTGAAGGCACGCAAGAGCAGCATCCGGTCTAGCGGCCCGCTAACGCTAACTAGCTTGACGGAGCTAGCGGCAACAAGATGATGGGAAAACGCATAAAACGCGTGTTTTTCTTACCTCCACAGCCAGAGCCGAAGCCGCCACAGCCAGCAGCAGTAAAGCCACTCGGTCCCCCATGTCGTGTCGTAAAAACTGCGCTCCTAAAGGCAGCGTTTTGGTCGTCGTTCCCCCCCGCACGGCTCTGCGTTTCGTGCGAACTCCTCCGGTGCCTCCTGTTGTCTGACGGTGAGCTGCGCTGAAGCTGCTCCGACTGGGTCACCTGACCGCTGCCGCGCGCGCGCACACGTGCGTGTCATCCTGACCCACACGTTTTTAACCCCCTGTTAAAGTTTACATTCAAACCTTTTAAACGCTACAGTCTCAAGATGTTTTAAAATCAGGGGCACCACCAAGGGGGGCCCGGAGGGGGCAATGACCACCCTTAAAAAAAAAAAGATATATATATTTACCCTTAAAAAAAAAAATATATATATATATATATATATATATATATACATTTTTTAAGGGTAAATATATATATATATTATTTATTTATTTATTTACCTTTTATTTATACAGGTAGTATCGCTGAGTCACGAGGACTCATTTACAAGAGCGACCTGTTTTAGGCAAACCTCAGATGAGGTACAGACAACAATATAAAATGCATATAAAATAAAAGTAAATAAAAGCAGTGAAACAAAACAAAAAATAGCTACATCACATACACAGTAAAAATACTAAACACAGGAACATGTCTGCATTGATTGTTGCATTGAACTTAACAATTGTTTAAAATCTCTTGGTCATAAATAGTGTTAACTTATTATTTTTATATATGTTTCTGTTCAGCGCATTGAGATGACGTCTGTTGTGACTTGGCCTGTCACGATAACAAATGTTGCTGGGCGATTATTTGTCTCAGAAATTATTGCGATAAACGATAATATTGTTTGAAATTTGACAATAATTAGTAATTATTGTCAAATTTAAGAATAAATGTTTGTTAATTTGTTTGGAGTGTAGTAACTTTTTCTGATCACTGCATGGCAGTATAAGACCGTTTGAACTGAAGGATGGATAGTGAGGGAGCGAGCAGCGTTGTCTCTTTAAGAAAAATGGGAGGGAGGCCCCTTGACGTGACATGGGCGGTCTCTCTTCGGTTCTCAAAATGGCGTTTGCTCGGTGTGGTTTGAGCTCTTTAGCATAGCATTTTTCACATAAAGCTTTTAATAAAAAAAAATCAGTAAATAAGTTCTCAGCTTCTGTTTGCAGAGAAAAACAACTTTCTTTTTTTTCCCATTTTTGCGGCTCTAGTGGCCAATTTTTGTTGTAGAGGGTGGGGACGAAATGGGGTGAGAGAGAGGGGGAGACCTTGCGGAAGGGTCGAGACTCGTGCCCGCGACCGCCGCTATGAGGGCTAGCCTCGAACATGGGCCGCGCTCGTAACCGCTGCGCCATAGCCGCGGCCCAAGTAAAACAACTTTTTACACAGGGGCACGAGTTTCAACTGTGAATTTTGGAGCTTCGACAAGACGGAGGTTTTTTCCCAGAGTTCAGCCTGTTAGCTTGTAGCTTAGCTTCTCAGCTTAGCTGCTTTTAACGATCCAAAAACACGATTTTGGACCGTTAAAACAGATTTTAAAGAGAAAGGGAGGGGCCAGTGAAGAACACCGGAGTTGAGCTTTTTGTCTTCCAGTGTCTTCAGTAGAAAGAGAGAGACACGAAGAAACGATAAAGCCGATAAATGAAAATGAGATAGATGATTTTAATTTATCGTGCGATTAATTGATTTATTGTTTATTGCAACAGGTCTACATGGCACTATAGAAATAAACTGAATTGAACTGAATTAATGAGATCAAAGTCGACAGATCTTGTTGCAAGGTGTTCCGGGCTACAGGAGCGGAGTAAGAGAATAATTTTTATTTCCGAGTTCAGTCCGCACTGAGGGGACGCTGCAGGTAATGATCGCTTGAGAGCGCACACTGTAGCAACTGTTTTAGCACAACAATAAACAACTGTATCATCGGTATAGAAATGCAAGGATGCGTCAGGAATGACATTACTTTTATGTAGATTGTAGAGAGAATGGGTCCTAAGACTGAGCCTTGTGGTACACCACTATTGACAGTTTAATATTTAGAAGAAGTTGAACACGTTGCTTTCTGCCTGAGGCTTCGGTTTTAGTTTTAGCAGCTTAAAAATGACAAATACTACTTAAGTTAAAATTTGAGAACTAAAGAAGTTATGGTAATTTTAGAGGAATAAATAAATGCAAATTTCTCAGAAAGAAGCTCCAGTTCCGAAGCTTTAAAGAAAACGTTTGGGTCAACAGGTTGTCATGAAAGTTGCTGAGATTGTAGAAGAGTTTTTCTAAATTCCTGCTTTCCTTTGAATGAATCTTTCACGTGCGACTTTTGATCGCTGGAATCTGAGCCGAACACGTAAAGGGTCCTAAGACTGAGCCTTGTGGTACACCATTATTGACAGTTTAATATTTCGAAGAAGTTGAACACGTTGCTTTCTGCCTGAGGCTTCGGTTTTAGTTTTAGCAGCTTAAAAATGACAAAGTAAATACTACTTAAGTTAAAATTTGAGAACTAAAGAAGCTATGGTAATTTTAGAGGAATAAATAAATGCAAATTTCTCAGAAAGAAGCTCCAGTTCCGAAGCTTTAAAGAAAACGTTTGGGTCAACAGGTTGTCATGAAAGTTGCTGAGAAATCAACAGTGAGTCTTATAACCCACTGCGCTTTATGTATTAATTCTGGTTGTGCTTAATGACCTCGAACCGATTTGATGTGGTACAACTGAACAATGCTGAGAGTTACTGTGAATGAGTTGAATAAAGTTTGACTTATCTGTTTTGTTTCGCTAAATGCGCTTTATAGTTAGAAAAATACGGCACTTCTCCCATTTTGCTGTATTTATCAAATAACCGATATATAAACAACAAATCACCTGGTTTTAGTGCCACCCCAGGATTTCCAGTCGCCGCCCGATTAAAACATTTCTAGGAGCGCCACTGTTTAAAATTACCGGAAACCTGAGTCGATATATACCTTTAAAAAAAAACAAAAAAAAAAACATCTTTAATTTAAAGCACAAGCAACAAATTACCTGATATTTAAACAACAAATTCACATGAATTAACCGTGAAGTTCCCCAGTTAAAAATCATCACACTGCAACAGTTGTTTTTCTGACTCGACTGTGGGAAGTAGGGGTGCAACGGGCGCCAAAGGACTTCCACGTTCCGTCACAATTCCAGTTTTAAAACTATCATCGCTCATTTTGCACGTTGTGACTTGCGTTTTATATTTTGTCCTCCGCGTGAACGTCATAGAAATTCACAGCGAACCCCAAAACATGTTCTCGAGACCAGTTTTTGAAACCCCACATCGTTTCACAAAAAGGCAACGAAGTCCAAGAACTGACTTGTTTAAAGCAGGTTCCTTAAAAAGATCAACTTTAAAATTCAAGCGTGAAAACAAAAAAGTCTTGAGGGACGTTTTGCTCCTTTGTGCCGAGAAAAATGGGGTTTTCACCTCCATCAATGCACGGTCGTACTTTTGAGGTGCACAGGAAGCTCGGTGAAGGGTCAGGACGGGACCGTAAAGTCTTTCAGACCCGATCCCGACACACATTGTCCCCTCAAACGGACGTTATCGCAGAGCGGACAGTTTTTATAAGCCGACACCCAAAATGCACCTGTGCTGGACCTCCAGGTCCAAATCCAGGAGATGAAAGAAGAGTCTACTTGTGGGGGCAGCCGGGGTAAGGTGGTGGCGGCGAGCAGCTACCCTGCTGAGGCGGAGTCGGGGTGTAGGGCGGAGGGTGCATCTCGTAATCAGAGCTGTACGGAGGCGGAGGACCTGAGGAGAAAATGAAGAAAATGATTTGGGTTCCAGTGTTGCCAGATAAGAGTTGAGTCCAAAAATGTGTTAAAAACTGCCCCATCACACAAAAATCCGCACAATCAATATATTGTTACAGTAAATTTACTGTTTGAACATGAATGCACATCAGCACAAGCCAAGCTAATTTAACAATATGTGGCAAAATGCAACAATCCAACAAAAATCTTCCCAGAGTTCCCAGCAAAGTCAGAATGAAAACCGCCCAATTGGCAGTAAATCCCCAACCAATCTGGCAACACTGAAGCTTTTAGTTTAACACTTCCGCCATCTAGTGGTCGAATTATGAAACTGCACAAAGATAAAAAAAAAAAAAACAATATTGTAGATAAGATGGAACTTTATTAATCCTTCAGGAAATTGTTGCCAGAGTTTCAGTACAAAAGGAACAGACACAAGATATAAAAATAACATAAGTATTGTAATAAACTGAAATTAGGTCACGAGTTAAAACTTTATTAGAGTGTACATGAAAACAAAAAGGTCCAAAATGATGGCTGCTCCAGAACAGAGTCTGAACCATCGCCAAGAGGCGGGCAGTTGAGTTTGTACCACTATTTGATAAAACGACTGGACGGATTGTAAAGAAACTTTCTAGAATTGCGCTGCTCGGGGAGCTGGCATGTTAAAAACAGGTTTGTAGGTTCAATCTTCCAGGTAGATGACAACAAAAAAGGTTAAATCATGTCATCTGGACATGATTTAACCTTTTTGTTAGTAGCTCTGCGAGTTATTGCTTTTGAAAACTTTAATTTCTCTTTTTTTCTGGATGTAAATCGCTTTTTTCGGATGATTATTTCCTCTGGTATCGGATGCTGCGCAGCTGGAAGGATTTACTGAAAGCTTTTTACTTTGGGGCATTTGTTATGGTGCGTAACCATGGCAACAAGGTGTTTTTTCAGCTGATTAACATCGTAAAAGCTGAAAAACCTCAACTACAGCCCCAAATCCCAAACGAGTTGAAAAGGAGGCACCGTGGATGAATTCCCGTCAACCGGGACACGAGGTCTCACCGTGACCCGATGCGTAACGGACTCTGTTGTCTCGTCGTCAAAGGAAAGACGTTCTCCGACTCGCTGCCTCAGAACTGCTGGAACCACAAGATGTTCTCGGGAGGAACCGTCCCACAGCGGATTGAACGGTTAAAAAAAAAAAAGTCCACAAGAGGACAGGTTAGCTGGGTCAGATTGAGACACTGGCCGTCGTCCATCTGAGGACCACCGGTTCTGGTGGTCCTGACTGTAGACGGACCAAACCAAAGCACCGTCATAATCAGGATCCAGAACGGGACAAAGATCACGTCTGAACGGAACCACGTGGAGCTGATTTTAGAGGAACCAGACCAGTACAGAGGACAGGGTTTAGGCTTTATTATACTGGGACATGTAGGGACAGATGGGACACATAGGGACAGCTGGGACACGCAGGGACAGGTGGGACATGTAAGGACAGGTGAGACATGTAGGGACAACTGGGACATGGAGGGACAGGTGGAACATGTAGGAACAATTGGGACATGGAGGGACAGGTGGGACATGTAGGGACAGGTGGGACATGTAGGGAAAGATGGGACATGTAGGGACAGATGGGACATGTAAGGACAGGTGGGACATGTAGGAACAGGTGGAACATGTAAGGACAATTGGGACATGGAGGGACAGGTGGAACATGTAGGGACAATTGGGACATGGAGGGACAGGTGGAACATGTAGGGACAGGTGGGACAAGTAGGGACAGGTGGGACATGTAGGGACAGTGGATCGGTAAACCTCCGAAACGTTTGGCAGAGCGGTGACCTTTGACCCACCTGGAAAGCCCTGGGTCACGGTGCTGATGGTGCTGAACACGCCGACCCGCGCGCCGCGCCCGTTCTTCATGCACATGCACACGCACAGGAACAGGGCCGCCACCGCCCCCATCAGGAAGACCACGCCGAACACGATGCCGGAGATGGCGGTGCCCCTGAAACACACACACATCGTGAGCCGTCACTTCAAACAACGCTGCCATGGAGATCAGCCGTCCGGGCTGATGTAACTCCGCTGTGCACGAATCGTGCGACACATCATGTGCAATGGCTGCAGGGGAGTCTGAATTGGCACTGCGAGATAGGAAAGAAGGCTCGTTAGCAGGTCTGTCAAGAGTCCGTGGTCGGCGTTAGTCAGCGCCGGTTTGAAGAGCGCCAACCTGTCCACGACATTTGGAGCCCTTAAACAAATGATTATAAAAAATAACGGGTAACAAAGAACTGGCCACAACAAATCTATGAATCATCCCTTCATAATCTGAGTCTTTTCACCCAGAATCATGTTTCAATTCTACAAATTTGACCCAAAAAAAAGCACCTCGTTGTTTAAAGGTGGAACCTGAACATGAAAGGTCACTTCTTACAATTCATGTGACAGTTGGGAGGTGTGTGTGTGTGTGTGTGTGTGTGTGTGTGTGTGTGGGGGGTGTCTTATTTCTAGCAGGAGATAATAGAGGCTTCCAGGCAACAGAGGCTCTTAAAGCAGCTCGTGTTAGAGTCGTTCCTTTATCCCCGGACACATGAAAGTTTCTGTCCTGCGGGGGGGTTCGTCTTTGACATGGACTGAATTTTAAAAAGCAGAAACGCACAAAGTCTCGTCTACAAGAAAAGAAAGTGGTTTGTTTTCTTGGGAGCGTGGCGATAAATTAAGGGGAACACCAGTTTTTCTTGGGAATGAGACATTTTCTTGGTGCATTAAACTTACGAAAGGACGTCCCCCACGTAGGCGTAGTAGGAGCAGCAGAACGGTGGCGATCCGTCGCAGCAGTACTCTAGACATCCTTCGCAAAGGGCTTCAGTACTTCCTGCGTACAAACACGAGCAAAAACACTGTCACCCACCTTTTAGTGGTAGAGAATAATAAAGAAAGGCGACAGTGTTGGAAGGTTCATTGGTAAAAATAGTGTCCAACTGTGGTAAGACCCTGACCCACGTCTACATGAGTTTTGTGGACCTGGAGAAAGTGTAAGACCGTGCTCGGAGGCATTATGTGGGGGTGCCAGGGTTGTATTTAAGGGCTATCCAGTCCCTAAAGATCTAAAGCAGAAGCTGCGTCTGCATTCTTGGCACAAAGTCGAGCTCCTTCTTGGTGCGGGTTGGATTCTGGCAGGGCTGTCCCTCGTCTTTGAACCTGTTCGTGGTGTCCATGTACTAGATCGCAAGGTGCAGTCGCGGAGAGGAGGGTGTCTGGTTTGAGAATCTCAAGGTCTCGTCTCTTCAGGCCCTAACTATAATTGTGCACTGGGGTGGTTTGCAGCCGTCAGCGTCAGCTGGGATTCAGTGGGAATGCCCCCAATTGAGTCTTTGCTTCAGGTGGTGGAGTTCAGGTATCTGGGCGTCTTGTTCCTGAGTGATCGTAGGACGGAGTGGGAGGTGGACCGACAGATCAGGGCCTTGTCCTCAGTAATGAGGGTGTTGCTTCAATGAGGTGAATCGAAAGCCAAAGCTCTGTTCCAACACTCACCTATGGTCATGAGGTCTGGATTATGGCCGAAAGAACCAGATCTTGGGTACAAGCGTATGAAATTCAAATCAATTCAATTCAATTGAAAAATACTTTATTAATCCCAAAGGGAAATTATTTGTTGTTGTAACTCGTTATCCTCGTTTCATTAAGAGATGTTATAGATACCGATGGCTGTAGACAGGAAGGATCTCTTGTAAAGGTCCATCCCACAGTGGATCCTAAGAAACTGGCTGCAGATGCCGTCCGATCCGTCCACCCAGACTCGGCTGGCCTCTCGGTTCCTCCCGGCTGCAGGACCGCCCGAATGCCGGACAGAACTCCTCCCAGTGCGATGGCCACTCCTCCCAGCAGTCTGCCGAGCTCCTCGTCGCTGCGGACAGCCAACTGTAGGTGTCGAGGGACGATCCTGTCCTTCTGCTGTCATGAGCCGTGTTTCCCGCTAGTTCCAGGATCTCAGTGGTCAGGCACTCGAGCACAGCTGGCAGGTAGATGGGAATGCATCAACGGCACCTCCTTTTCAACTCATTTGAGATTTGGGGCTGTAGTTGAGATATTATTTGAGCTCTATTGTTTTTTTTTTTATTCATTTTATTAAATGAGCTTCCTTCGTAGGGTGGCTGGGCTCAGCCTTAGAAATGGGTCGAGGAGCTCGTCGTAGAGCAGCTGCGTCTTTGCATCAAAAGAAATTCATTGAGGGGGGTAATTTGATAAGGATGCTACCTGGATGCCTCCCTTTGGAGGCTTTCCGGGCATGTCCCACAGGGAAGTGACCTAGAACTAGCTGGAGGGATTATGTATCTTCTCTGGTCTGGAAATGCCGAAATGCCCCCCCCCCCCCCCACCCCCACCCCATGGAGAGGGAGGTCCGACAGTGTTTCTCTCCTGGACCTGTTGCTTTTGCATGGGTCATTTTGACCCAAGGGGATCAGGAGGCTTAAACGCCCAGAGAAATGTAATTACTGAGTTTTGCCATCTTGCAACTTTCAAAAACAAACGCGTACCAAAATGTAAGGGTCCATCTTTTAGTCGGCCAGCTCTCTACAGAGTCCAAGATGGTACAGAACCTACCATACATCTCGGTTCTACGCTTAGACGGAGGAACAATGCAGCAATTACCAAGCAGCATCTCAGAGTGATGACAGCACATGAATTATTAATTGTTTTCCAGAGCAGACTGAGGCAGCTAAAAACAGCCCACGTGTCCCTCCTGTTAAAGCTGGATGAGTCCGACAGACCGGTCTCTGACAGAAAACCAGCACATTTAACCGTGATGCCTGCAGACAAACGAGCAAGTTTAACCTTTGGAGGGAAAAGACAGCAACGTATCAAAAGGGAGGCTATAGTCTGTACTGATCCAAGGCAAAGACAGAATCCCAAGTCAAAATACTTAAACTGATCTTGACAAAAATAACGATACCGTTCTTGCCCAACCTTTTGAGACTGCAGTCAAGCGGTTTCGGCAAATTTGAGACTTGTGCACCTGTTCACGAGTATTTTGCTCATCGTTAATGATCGTTCTAAGCTCCTGATACAACTTTCTTCAGGTTTCTGTGACTCGTGTTCAATGTGTTACACACTGTGATGCCAAACTGCCCTGTGACTACCTGTCACTTTAAATAGACTGACACGCCTTAGTTTAACGCGTTCCTGTGGTTGGATTATTTCCATCTTTTTAAGGCGTATCATCCTTTTTGTCAAGGCTAGTTTCTTTTATATATATATATATATATATATATATAGTTCTATTGAATTCAAAACAAACGTTTGATTTTTATTCGTTTTTTTTTTTTAAACCGCTTCCGTCGGTTTCCAAGTTATTCCAGCGCTCTTTGTGGGGTATTATTTCTTTAACAAAAGGTTAGAAACAAATTCATCCACATCCGTAGTAACAATGCATTTCATTTATTCTTGGAATTCAATCTTTTAAGTAAAAAAATTAATCAAATTGAAAGTCTGCTGAACTTTTGATGAACTACTATTGTTAACCCGACTCGAGCATGAGGTAATCCCCACACCAGAATTTTGATTTTAAGGATAAATAAGAAGCAGCATAAAAGTCCAAATGATTGGCCAAATATGTGATTATGCGAGAGATTGCATAAACTCTTTGGCCAAAACAAGAAAAAAAAACCAAAGTCCTCAGGAATCTTTTTCAGTGTAGCACGACACGCTTTAATTTTTGAAATGCGCCATTAACTCAGTGCACTAAACATTAATGAGGTCCAGTTCAGTACCACCAGATCCGAAGTATCAGTAAGTTTTTTTCGGCTGCTCCCTCTTCAGGGGTCGCCACAGCAAGCGAACTTACATGAAAGATTTGGCGATTGTTTTACGCCAGATGCCCTTCCTGACGCAACCTGGGCTCGAACCAGCAACCTCAGGAATAAGACCACGCACTGAGCACCAAGCTACCGAAGCCCCATTATAAACTCATTTGGTAAAAAATTGTTTACCTAGTAAAACAAAGACTACTTTGAGACTTCACTTTGATTCAGTCCCCACTTCTAAGGAGAGCAGTAGAAATAAAATCTTAAAATTGTATAACCATGTCCGCAAACTGCAAGGGGTGACAAACCCAGTGCCTGTAACGTGTAAATTAAGCATTCTGTTATACTCCAAGAAGAAAATTAGGGGGAAAGACATAGGCTACATAGGAAAGATGGCTAGTCAACCGAAAAATAATAAAAGCAACAGCAGCAAGCCAACAAATAGCAGAGCATTTAGCTAATAGCAAAAACTAAAATACGTAGCGCTAAGCTAGCAGCGCGCAATACAGACGCAGTTAGTCTCATTGAGTCACGAGAACTCATTTTGAAGAGACACCTGTAGTCTGTAAAGACCTGTACATCTGTAGAGACTTGTAGTCTGTAGAGACCTGTACATCTGTAGAGACCTGTAGTCTGTAGACTTGTAGTCTGTAGACTTGTAGTCTGTAGAGACCTGTAGTCTGTAGAGACATGTACATCTGTAGAGACCTGTAGTCTGTAGAGACCTGTACTCTGTAGAGACCTGTACATCTGTAGAGACCTGTAGTCTGTAGAGACCTGTACATCTGTAGAGACTTGTAGTCTGTACAGACCTGTAGTCTGTACAGACCTGTAGTCTGTAGAGACCTGTAGTCTGTAGACTTGTAGTCTGTAGATACCTGTAGTCTGTAGAGACCTGTACGTCTGTAGAGACCTGTTGTCTGTACAGACCTGTAGTCTGTAGACTTGTAGTCTGTAGAGACCTGTAGTCTGTAGAGAGCTGTACGTCTGTAGAGACCTGTAGTCTGTAGAGACCTGTACATCTGTAGAGACATGTAGTCTGTAGAGACCTGTAGTCTGTAGAGACCGGTACATCTGTAGAGACTTGTAGTCTGTAGAGACCTGTAGTCTGTAGAGACCTGTGCATCTGTAGAGACCTGTAGTCTGTAGAGACATGTAGTCTGTAGAGACCTGTATGTCTGTAGAGACCTGTAGTCTGTAGAGAACTGTAATCTGTAGAGACCTGTACATCTGTAGAGACCTGTACATCTGTAGAGACTTGTAGTCTGTAGAGACCTGTAGTCTGTAGAGACCTGTAGTCTGTAGAGACCTGTACGTCTGTAGAGACCTGTAGTCTGTAGAGAGCTACATGTCTGTAGAGACCTGTAGTCTGTAGAGACCTGTACATCTGTAGAGACCTGTAGTCTGTAGAGACCTGTA